CTGCGTAGCACCACTTCAAGTCAAACACACCTATGCTCTCTACAGTCCTCATACATTATGTATACGTGTATTTGCATTGCTTTGACCGAAAGCCATTGGATGATTATATACAATGCCTGCCCTTTATTGGTCAAACCTCTCAGTAATTGCCTTCGCCAGCTATGAAAACAATAGCATAACAAAGCCCAAACCTGGCAATTTAGAAATCCTGGCCAGGACATTTCAGGGAAAAAGAGGAAGTATGGTCACCCTAAACATTGACATAAGCTCAAAATCTAATATGATCGAAGTATTCAACAGTACCTTAATATCTGCATGATCTAGATATATTACTAATCACAGAATAAAATATTTTAGGCATTTTACTTACTGTTCTTGAATGTTGGCTTATCCAGTCCAGTAAAACAAGATGATGAGCTTCAAGGCAAGTTCGCAAGTTCAAGGCTGAACAATAGGACCCATTAGTTTTGTAAATGGGGTCTTAGAGGAGAAAAAACATGTGCAGGCTTATTTTAGTGAGCTAAAATCAGTGTTGTAATATTACAACAGTGGGCCCCACAGAGTTAAGGTCTGTCAAATAGTAGTATTCAGGTAAAAATACTTGAGAAACTGTAATCAAAATGTTATTTACGTTACCTGGTAATAGCTGCACATGTGCTCTTATGAAATAATTGGTGCACAGAGAAAGACCGCAGACAGGTTTGTCCAGTGGATGTTTTTCTCCATGATGTAGGATATTTAACATAAGGAATAAGATTAAACTACAGTAAGTGGTACAATATGGTACAAGTGTTAAGCCATTTAAAAATGTTTGCAGCGAACTGCAGTCCTATTTGACTTTCTGTAGCCATGTTGCTGGTTACCACTGGTTTCTTTATTTTGGATGATAATGTTGCACATTCTCCTGAATGTTAATGGGATTTTGGATAACGTCATGGACATGAATAAGCAATTTAACATGTTACGAAGTTAAACTATTAATATAGTTAACTAAGTTGAGTTTACATGCTAAAGAACCAATTAGCATAGCTAATAGACAGCTTAGTGTACTACATATGTGTCAAAAGCCATTGGCACGTAAGTATATTTTTGTCACATACTAACATAATATAGGCAAATATTTTATGTAAATATGAGTGCTTGAACTGCCTTAAGTTCGGCTGAGCCTATGCCTTTTGCTTTGTACCTCTGCCTTAAATGTGCACATTTAAGCCCTACTTGTATGTTATATGTCTTGTATTGTTATTGCATTAAATAACAATATACAAAACAAATAATAACAAGTCACTGTTCTTTTATTCTATTTATTTTATGAAAAGCAATGATATAAGCAATTATAGCTAATATTTACATTTACACGAGAAACAGTCGTTGTTGTTGTTAATTAAAATAAAGGTTACTTTTTGATATTTTGGTTATTTTATGAAATGCAATTATAATAACTTCTAAACGTTTAAAAATGTTAATTGCAATATTATCAACCACTGTATAAAATTCGTAATAACAGGTAAATTACATACATTTTGACAATAACAATATATTTGGCTATGTGTGTGTGTGTGTGTGTGTACATATATAATAAAAATATTGAACTACCACATATTTAATTGAACTACCATAAACAACAAATGACAGCAACAACTTCTATTTGGCCATAAACCCACTAAATATAATCTCATTGTTGCAGACTACTCTTTAAAAACACAAGAGTAACAAGTGTGCTCAAGTGTGAACTACTGATTTGATCTAAACCAGTGGTTTAGATTACATTTTGAATGTTTCCCTCATCTGACACACTCAGCTGAGTTCATGGAGCTCTCACCTAATGAGCTGGTGTGTTAAATTAGGGAGACATACAAAATGTGCAGAGCGGTGGGTCCCCACGACCAGGATTAAGAACCACTGATCTAAACCATCAATCATTAAATGATTGATGAATTGAGCATGAACTGATTGCATCAATCAGTTCATGCTCAATAAAGAAGGCATCTTACCAGAAGAATGACAAAGAACAGAAGCGCTGTGCCTTTACATAGTTTTAAAAGAAAGATGTGCCATGATATTTAATGGATTCTGATGAGTTTATCCACAACTTTTCTCAACAATTAACTACTCTACAACCTCATTAAACTGGCTGGTCCTTGTCAAACCAAACTGAGCACTGATGTGAGAGGTGTGAGCTCTTGCTCAAGCTGTCACTAGAGTTAAATATTATCGTTATGTGAACAGTGTTAATGCTCCGCCTCTGCTTCACACGGCTGAACAGATCAAACGTTACAAAATTCATCACTTCACTACATCACCAGAACTGAAAGCTGAAAGTAAAACTTCCTTTAATTAGTCTATATTCTAGTTAGCATTCTACTTACCATTTCCTAGTTTCCTAACAAAGTAAGCTATTATGCTGAAGATCTGCATAACTCCCACATGAAGTAAGCAACAATACCACTGTTCCCTGTAGGGCTTACAACAATATCAAATTGTTTTCATGTCGTGTTTGGATAGATGTCATGCTGGAATAGAAAAGGGCCTTTCCAAACTGTTCCTACATTGTTGGAAGCATAGCATTGTCCAAAATGTCTTGGTATGCTGATGCATTTAGATTTACCTTCACTACCTTCTAGAAAAACAGCCCCATATCATTATCCCTCCTCCACCAAACTTTACAGTCAGGCAGGCAACGTTCTCCAGGTATCCACCAGACCCAGACCTGCTCATCAGACTGTCAAACAGAGAGGCCTGATTCAACACTCCACAGAACACAGAATTGCATTCCTTGTGAATGTGATCCTATCTACATCGGAAACAAGCGTTGTTGTATTGTGTCGTGAATTAATTTCTTGTCAGAAGCAGTACGAGCGCTTGGAGTATGTCAGAAATAAATCATACGTCACAGCAGCACCCATCTGTTATTTTAATATGCAAAACTGTTAGCCAATCATAGCAGTGGGCATTTACTTCCGATTTTTGAATGTGACCTGCCTATAAAAACAGACTATTTTGCAGAGAGGGTCAAAGGTAGGAGAGAAAATATCCTATTACTCCTAAATGATACTTTTTGATGTAGAAATCTTGTAAAAATGGCTAATTTCATGGACCTCAGAGAACATTATAAAATCATTAAAAATGCAGTCCATGACGCCTTTAAGCTGAATGTAAGCACATCACACCAGTCTTGATTTCATTGCGGCTCTCTGTTAAATATAGAGTAGATTTTTTAAAATGTTATTGTTTGTATTAAAATCCCTCCATAACCAGGCATCTGACTTGCTGCACTCATACATTCCGTCGCAATCTCTTAGATCTGGTGAATCTGAAATACTTTGCATTCCTAAATCCAAACTTAAGAATTGAGGTGATCGTGCCTTTGCTCATGTTGGACCTGCAATGGAACAGCCTCCCGGCCCACATAAGAAGTGCTTCAGTTATTTCATTTTTTAAATCTAAAACCCATTTATTTATTTTATTTTTCCTTATAAGAGTGCTTCTAGATTGGGACAACACATCTTCTTTAACGCTGTAACATCTGTACACCACCTTTCGTTGATGTAAACGCATGTCCCGCCGCCGCACGTCTTTGGCTTTTAATATTCCGTCATCCCCCTTATAAGAGTGCTTCTAGATTGGGACAACATATCTTCTTTAACGCTGTAACATCTGTACACCACCTTTCGTTGATGTAAACGCATGTCCCGCCGCCGCACGATTACCCCGTTGATTCTGCATCGCGGTCTGCTCTAAACAGCTGAAAGCCGGGCAGATGTAGCGCGCTGTCCGGAATGGCGTCATTCAGCCAGGTTTCCGTAAAACACAGAGCAGCAGAGTTTGAAATATCTTTGTTTGTCCTGGAGAGCATAAGAAGTTCGTCCATTTTGTTGGGTAGAGAACGGAGATTCGCCAGATGGATGCTAGGCAACGGCGTTCGAAATCCGCGCTGCCTGAGCTTCACGAGTGTGCCGGCTCTCTTCCCCCGTCTGCGCGTCCTGAAGCGCTTGATCAGGGCCGCTGCTCCGCCAACTACAACATTAAGCAAAACGTCCGAATAATCGAAATCCGGTACAAGATTTTGTGGTGTGTTCTGCCAAATGTTCAGCAGTTCATCCCTGGTAAAACTGATCGTGTTTGAGAAATAAAAAACAGGAAAAGCGAACAAAAACAGTACAAACACTGGAGAGCCAAGCACTGAGGCAGCCGTGTGCGGCGCCATCTTACTATCTAGCATCTTACTACTATTTCTTCTTCTACTTCTTCTTCTTCTTCTTCTTCTTCTTCTTCTTTGGTGTTTATTGGCGGTTGGCAAACCAACTTGTAGGTGCATTACCGCCACCAACTGGAGCGTGGAACAGAATACGTGCTTATGGGATTGACAATGCGCGAAGGTGAGGAGAAAAAAAAAAAACGAAAAAAAAATTCAAACATTAAAAAACATCTTTTTTTTAATTATTAATAAAAATAAATATTTAAATAAACAGATTTTTACAATAATAAAAAAATATATATACTTTTTAAATTATTTTACTTAACTTCGTTTCTTTAATAAACTTAATGATGCAATCATATATAGCCTTTTCCCCTAGAATACCAGTTATAGAGAAGTCTTTGTGATCAACCTTCTTTAATGACTGAATAAAATGGCATCTTTCTTTGTTGTATTTCCTGCAATGAAGCAGTACATGTTCAACTGTTTCTTGCTGACTACAATAAATACATTCCCCAGTTGAGTGCTTGCCAATTTTAAACAATGTACTATTAAGTCCTGTGTGACCTATTCTCAGACGAGTTATAATATTCCCTTCCTTACGGTTTCTGCTCTCCCTCCTCCCAGCACCAACTTGTTTTTGTATATTATATAAATGTCTCCCTGTTTCAATACCATCCCAATATCCCTGCCATACTGATTGTGCATATTTCCTGATGTATGCTTTAGCTTCTGCTTTACTTAATGGAACTTGTAGATCAACCTGTTTTAATTTTAGAGTTTGTTTAGCTATAATATCCACCTTCTCATTCCCTTCCACACCAACATGATTTTGATAGTTTACATTCTGATAGATACTGAGTGCTGCTGCGTTCTGGTAAATTAAGTCCACATTGGTTCCAGTTCTTGATCGAATTATGTCATATGCACACTGGTGGAGGTAAACATATTGCTCCTGTTGTAGAAAACAGAAAATAGTGTAAAAATATTAGTCTTCTTTACTTCAAGTGGCAGATTCTTTGTAGAAGTATAACAAATGTCAGCACCAATTTCTATGTAAATGTCATCGTAAAGGAATATTCTGGGTTCAGTACAAGTGAAGCTCAATCAGTTACATTTGTTTCATAATGTTAATTACCACAAAGATAATTTCCACTTGGCCCTCCTTTAAAAAATATAAATTAAAAAAAAGCAAAAGGTCACAGTGTTTGGCTAAGTAGTATAGTTAAGTAGAATATCTACTTGACGTAAACAATGAGCATGTTAACATACAATATGAAAAAATAGCTTATTATTGCTTTTCTGTGTAACATCATATCCTATTTTACAACTCTGTCACTGTCACAGCTCGTCATAAATCCTACAGTGATTATTTTAACAGCTTCACAGTTAAAATAATATAATACATTCAACAGAATAGTTTGGGCTTTAGATACATCATTGGTCCAGATGGACCATAAAAAGGTGCAAGCTATCCAATCCTGACCTACTCCAACCACCAATAAAGAATGCTTCCTCAGCTTCTCAAACTCTAACAGATGCCTATTCTGAAACGTAATCTCCATTGTCATTCCCCTCACCATCTGAAGTGGCTCAAGCCTTCCAGCAACTATAGAAGGCATTCACCTCAACCACGTCATTTTTGAAAAAAATAAATAAAATTTCCACCAAGCAAAAGTATGATTTTGGCAACTGGGAGCTACAGTACTTATGCATACATTCCAGCAGTGGCACCACTGGCTTGAGGGTTCCTACCATGTGTTCCAGGTCATCATACCTGGAATCCCTCTGCGATGCCAAATGGTTGAACCCTCCCCAGGCCTGGTGGCCCTTGTTCTTCTCTAGATTCAGCTTCTTTCATGTATCATCCAGGGTCCAAACATATTAGCATTGATGCTGTCTCACCTCCATTCTACCGATTATCCAGTCTCTGCTCCAGAATCCATTCTTCCAGACTTTGTTCTTTATCTCTTCCACCATTGGCCCCATCCATTGGACCCTGGGTGAACAGATAACCCAAGCCACCACAACAGAAACTGTGTGTTCCTGCCGCCCCATGGAACTAACTCCTGGACTCCTTGCACTCCTTTCTGGGCTCTGGACATCCAGGGACAACCCAAACCCTTTCCCAGGTCATGACCAACCTTCCTCAGTAGTCAAACCTGTATCTAGATGGCTGTTTCTCTAAGACCTGCCACCTCAAACAGCTTTTGAGACCGCAGAAATATTGCTTCATCGTGTCTTATGGAACTACAGACTCTTGGAAGTCTACAATTCATATGCAAAGTCTGGAAGCTTTCTTCAAGCTGCTGGCCACCACTGCCAGACTTTCTTCAGGCTATCATGCCCAATTTCCCAGTTCCTTAGAACTTACTGCCATCAACATCAGCAGTACTGGAGTCGCTTCCTGTCCTTGGCTTAATATGCCCAAAACTCTCTCTGCCAGCCATCCATGGGTATGACACCATTCCTGTGTGTCCTCCAGTGTGATTTTAGCCTTCTCTGTTTTCCCTGGTCCCTGCTTCTCTGTTTCGACCACTGGTACCAACGGCATGTACAGCTGCAGTGTGCTGTCTGACATCAGAAAGGCCATTATGATGCCCAGTGATCGGACACTCCTTTCTACCAGTTCGGACAGAAAGTCTAGTTATTTACATGTGACCTCTATCGCTGTCTTCCATGCAGAAAGTAATGTCCTCTATACACTGGCCCATTCGTGCTATGCATCCCAGACTTCAAATGCCGAAGGTCCCTCAAGATGATATTCTGAAATATCCCTACTCAAAATATTCCACTATGATCATCACAAACATCCAGCTCCTCAGAAATGTGGTCAACTAGAGCACCCCTCTCCCTCACTTACCCTGGACTTTGGATCATGTACATTTGTTCAAAATTAACCAGCTCATCAAGAACTCTGTATAGACTTGTCACATGCTCACCCTCATAGTCTTACAAAGAGGACTCTCTGATTGCACTACTCTTCAGTAGTGTTGTCTTCATGACTCCCTTGTGGATCCTCTTTGTACCATTGTACCATCATTACCTCCACCTGCATTACCATTGTGTCATCTTCTACATCTGGGTCAGATTTCTACCACCTTTCCTGCTCCTCCTGCTGTTCACCCGTGTGTTCAATAAAGAACCAAAACACTTGGGTTCAAAGAATCATCTGACTCAGTCTGCTTTGTTACAGTAAGCGTTTGCATAAAATTACAAGCCTCACATTTTTGCTCTAAAACTGGCTGCATTCTCTACCATTTTAATTGCCTCAATGTAATGTCCAGTTTTTAAAGGAGGTACAAGCTTAATTTGTACTGATCCCCAGAAAATGACTCTACAGTCCCTTACCTCAGTCTGCACCATAAGAGGCCTGTGCATGCGCATGTCATTAACGATTCCGAAGATGTCCACCATGCTGTCTCTTTCAACCTGGAAGATCAGGTGGTCAATGGCAATGAAGGTCCCTGTTCTTCCCACACCGGCACTAAAAAGTGTGAGGGTCAAATAATTCAATGAAAGTTTAACAGATGGCAAATTTGAAATTCTCATGTTTGCTTTGTAATTTAATTCATGAATGGTTGTTTATAGGAACCTAGTTTACCTGCAGTGCACCACAGTTGGAGAGTGACGTGAGTACTGCTCCATGTGTTCTCTCACCAGGTGTCTGAAGTCAATGAGGACTTCAGTGGTCTGTGGAACTCCATGATCCGGCCATGCCGTAAAGTGGAACTGGCGTACGTAGCGAGATTCTGCTGTTTTCACCTACAGAATTATCAGTTATATTATTGTAATATATTACTGATTTAAAAACAACAACAACAACAATTTTCCACGCCTGTTGAAGGAATAAATGGAGATCTCAAGTGCAGGAAGTGTTGCTTTACATTTTTGATTCTAAAGTCTCTTATTGTCCAACTCTCCAGTTCGATCTCTGAAGTGGTCGTCACAGAGATGTTATGATAATGATTAGTCCCAGATGGCCAGTACTTCTCACATTTCACCTGGAGAAAATGACAGAGTGCTGGTTAGCTTTACTCTGAATATACATTTTCACATTTCACATTCACCACTTTTCATGTGACTAATAATTTTTCACAATGAAAACTCACTCGTCCCATCTCATTGCATTTGGTCAGCATCACGATGGTGTAGACGTTCTTCTCCCAGACCATTCTCCAGAATTCATTCACTGTTACGGGTAACGGACCCTGAGCTGCTATAAACTCCTTTCTTGAATTGTAGCCCTGATCAAAAAAATAGGTAAAACCCTGGTTAGACATGACTAGAAAAAAAAATGTTTCAGGCAATTTTACTTCTGTTTATATACCCACTGGGATGTAGTTGGCGTTGATGTAGTCATCAAAGGAACTGCCACACATTGACAACTTCACTCTTGAAGCATCATCTGATAAAAGCAAACATGATGCAATTAGTATCAGAAAGTAATTATTAATTAACTAAAAATATGCATCTGATTTTGTATAAAGTTACATTGGAGCATCATACCTGCCATGCTCTGTTATACTCAAAGGACTCTTATTTTGATATTGTTTTGTCACATATTGTCTGTATACATTTCCAGTTTTTCTTACTTTCTGTGGTTTCTGATTGTTATCACCTGTGTCTAGTTTAGATAATCATAATTATCATGGATTTCTACACTGAATGTACTTTTGTTAGTTTTTGCTTTGTTTTTGTTTTTTTGTTGTTTATTTCCTTAAAGCTACAGTATGCAACTTTTGGCCCTCTAGCAGTTACCAAATAAAACTACATGCATCTTGAGGAAGAACATTGTTTTGGTTGTGCTTTGGGAAACAACAATGCAGGACCAGATGTACAAGATATATTTTCAACCCTGGAAAATACAGGGGAGGTTACTGAATATGACGCTGCAATGACTGCTTTGAACTCATATTTCGTGCCCCAAATCAATGCTGCATTTGTCCAGCAAGCTTTTCACAAGTTGAACCAGAAAACAGGTGAGACGATACAACAGTTTGCTACTTGCCTGAGGCAAGCAGCAAAAGACTGTGGGTTTCAAGCAGACACAGACAACCAGATAAGAGATGATATCCTTAGTAAATGCACATCAGATTATGTTCGTCGGAAATTATTAGAGGAAGGTCCGAGTCTAACACTTGCTCGCTCAGTAGAACTAGCATCACAGTGTGAGAGAATTGAAGAGCAGATGTAAGTCATGTCGTTGAGACCTGACACTGGTGCAATCAATCGAGTGGCGCAAAAGATCAACAAAAGAGAAAGGAAATAAAGGATACACCAGAAACAAGCATGCAGAGAGAAAAGATGAAAAAGTGGACAGGAAATGCTACAGGTGTGGACACACAGACCATTTAAGCAGAGACCAAACATGTCCCGCACGAGGTCAAGTATGTCACAAATGTAATGGAAAAGACCATTTTTCAAAAATGTGCCACACTAAAAACCCCAAAAAGAATCGTGTAAACAATGTGGAGGAAGCTGATTATGCATTTGTTGTCCAGGAAAAAACTGTGTCAGAAAAGTTGACTTTCCTTGTGGGTGGTGTGAAACTAAGACTGTTGATTGACTCGGGTGCCACAAATAATGTGATTGATGAGGACACCTGGGAAGATCTTAAACAGAACAAAGTTAAATGCAAGTCATACATTCCTGAAACAGAGAGAAAGCTCTACTCATACTCTTCAAACCAACCTCTAATAGTCAAGGGTGCATTCCAATGTGAGGTAAGCATATCCAACAGAACAGAGCAGGCTGAATTCATCGTGATACGAGGAAAAGGAGAACCCATCTTAGGAAGAGAAACAGCCATCAAGCTAGGAGTTTTAAAAATAGGCACTGACATTTCTGCCGTGATTGAATTAAAGCAAGTTCTGCAACAAAATTATCCGGAAGTGTTCAATGGGGTTGGCAAGCTAAACACCAACCAAGTTACTCTACACATAGACCCAAGTGTGAGACCAGTAGCGCAGCCGCTTAGACACATCCCTTTTAATCTCAGGAGAGCAGTAGAGCGAAAAATAAAGGAGCTAATGGAAATGGACATTATTGAACCGGTCAGTGGTCCCACACCATGGGTGAATCCTGTAGTCATAGTGCCTAAGTCCAACTCAGACATAAGATTGTGTCTGGATATGAGGCAGGCTAACCGTGCCATAGTGAGGGAGCGTTACCCTATCCATAACGTGGATGAGATTCTCCAAGGCATCATTGGCTCAATTATATTCAGCAAGCTGGATTTAAAATGGGGCTACCATCAGCTGGAGCTCAAGCCTGAATCGAGAGATATCACGACGTTCACGGTGCATAATGGTGTGTATCGCTATAAAGGACAGATTTTTGGGGTATCCTCTGTCAGCGAACAGTATCAGCACGAGGTTGCCAATGCCTTAGCAGGAATCGAAGGTGTAGAAAATATCTCAGATGATATCATTGTTCATGCCAGCAACCAAGAAATGCACGACCAACGTTTACACGCAGTTATTAAAAGACTGAGCGAACGGGGATTGACATTGAACCCTGAAAAGTGCCAGTTCAACATGAGCAAGCAGATATTCATGGAAATCCTTTTGTCTGAGAAAGGAATTGGTCCGACAGAAGAAAGGGTAAGAGCTGTAAGGCAGGCAAGTGAACCAAAGACGGCTTCAGAGGTTAGGAGCTTCCTGGGTCTGGTGGGCTACAGCAGCAGATTCCGTGGTATACCGTGGATGAATACACATGTGGGATCACCCGAAGGGGGAATCACTACACACGGGCACCTAGCCCAGCACAAGGGCTGACCTTGGGCATGCACACGAGTGCTGAGCCTGGCGTCTGGCGCTCCGCCATGCCTGACCGCCGAGGGTGCGGGAGGAACTCCACCACGGTTCGCCATGGGGAACTGATTGAGGAGCACAAAAGCGCACGTATCCGGTCCGTAGAGGGGAATGGCGCAGCAAGCGTGATCGACACCGAGCAGGTCTGGTGTTACTGCCTACCTGAGGCGAGTACACGAGAGGACACGGGCTCTACACGGAGATTATAGAATCTCCCAAACGTGTTAGGCGTCGCCCAGCCGGCAGCTCTACAGATGTCTGATATCGAGGTGCCCCGCGCCAATGCCCAAGAAGATGCCACTCCTCTCGTAGAGTGAGCTCTCACTCCAAGGGGGCAAGGTAACCGTTGGGCCTGGTAAGCTAAGACTATAGCCTCCACTAACCAGTGGGCAAGTCTTCGTTTGGAGGCAGCCTTTCCCTTCTGCTGACCTCCAAAGCAGACAAAGAGCTGGTCTGAGGTCCTGAAGCTCCGCGTACGGTCCACGTAAATGCGCAAAGCGCGAACGGGACAGAGCAGAGCGATGGCTGGGTCTGCCTCCTCCCGGGGCAGCGCTTGCAAGTTCACCACCTGATCCCTGAAAGGCGTGGTGGGAACTTTGGGCACATATCCGGGCCGGGGTCTCAGGACAACGTGAGAGTTACCCGTCCCGAATTCTAGGCACGAATCGTCAACCGAGAATGCCTGCAGGTCCCCTACCCTCTTGACCGAGGCCAAAGCGGTGAGGAGCGCTGTCTTTAATGACAGAACCTTAAGCTCTACTGACTGCAGAGGCTCGAACGGCTCCTCCTACAGAGCCGTCAGGACCGAGGGGAGATCCCAAGAGGGTAACAGGTGAGGGCGCGGAGGATTCAGCCTCCTTGCCCCTCTGAGAAACCTGATGATCAGGTCGTGCTTCCCTAGAGACTTACCGTCTACTGCATCGTGATGTGCGGCAATGGCGGCAACATACACTTTCAGGGTGGAGGGAGACAGCCTTCGCTCCAAGCCATCCTGCAGGAAAGAAAGCACGACTGCGATCGGGCATCTACGGGGGTCTTCCAGGCGGGAAGAGCACCAACCGACGAACAGGTTCCACTTCAGGCTGTAAGCGTGTCTGGTAGACGGGGCCCTAGCTGAAGCGATGGTGTTTACTACCGCTGGAGGTAGCCCACCTAGAACCTCCGCGTCCCGTCCAGGGACCATAAGTGGAGATTCCACAAGTCTGGACGCGGGTGCCAGAGGGTGCCCCCTCTCTGAGAAAGGAGATCCCTCCTCAGAGGAATTCGCCAAGGAGGGGCTGTCGCGAGGAGCATCAGTTCGGGGAACCAAGTCCGACTGGGCCAGTATGGCGCCACCAAGAGGACCTGCTCCTCGTCCTCCCTGACCTTGCACAGACTATTTCAGTGGAACCACCGTCTTGCACTGGAAGGACGCCAGGCATTTCAGCATCGACTGTGCACGTTCTCCTGAGAGATGTGCCAAGAGGTTGACCGAGTCCGGCTCCATGCCGAGAAAAGAGATCCTCTGCACCGGGGAGAGTTTGCTCTTTTCCCAGTCGACCCTGAAGTCGATCGCTGCGAACCAATCGGCAGGACGGACCCATTGAAAGATCCGTTCTCGCGCACTGCCATCCTCGCCCTCTTGGACCCCAGAGAAAAAGGAACCCGCTCTTCTGTTGAGGTTTTGGGCACCACTGGCTGGGTAGCCAGCGGCGGAACAGAAAAAAACAGGAACAAAGGTTTCTCCACCCGGCCCTCCGCCGGGGGAAGGAGTGGTGCGGTCAACATCTCCTGAAGAGCCGGATTCAAGACCCCCGGGTCGCCCGTCCCAGGGAAGCCTCCCGCCGATGGAGACCACAGGAGGGCGCTCTCGGCAATGAGCAGACAGAGGGGCTGCAGCCGGCGGTAGGGTGACTACAGCAGCCGACCGCCGGGGCAGGATGCATCGAGACGCCTCCGTCTGCTTCCGTGTGGCGGAGAACTGTTGGGCCGAATAGGCCGGCCTGGGAGATCGGGGAGTCCAGGAAGTGATGCTTGTCGGTCTCCCTCATATCCGCCCAGGTCAGCCATAGGTGGCGCTCCTGGACCACCAATGTGGACATCGTCTGACCCAGGGCCCTAAGCGCGAGGTCCGTTGCCGTGCGCAGTTCCTACAGCACACCTGGGTCAGCACCACCCTCGTGCAGCTGCTTCAACGCCTTGGCCTGGTGGACTTGCAGGAGGGCCATGGCGTGCAGGGCGGAAGCGGCCTGTCCAGCAGCACTGTAAGCCTTAGCCGTCAGAGCGGACGAGAACTTACAGGC